AGAACCGCTCTAATATAATATGCATGCGTAAATAAGAATTTTAACCAGCGTGGTTTGAGGTGAGCACACAGTTTTTAACATTAACCCAAAGAGTTGTTGCTGCTAACTAGTATATAAGCTCTTTAGTTCTCCTAAATGTCAAAGACTGCAAACGGCTTTGTGTCGGCCCCGGTGACAGAATGGATAAGGCATTTGTCCCCGCAGCAGCCACGTTTGAACGAGCGTCTTTTTGTTTTGCGTTAGGCAGACATTCCACCTGACAACTAATTTACCGAGAGAAAATACACAAAATAATCCGTCTTTTATTAATTGAAAGACACTCCAGTAGTCTGCTGTTAACGGGAGTAAAGCATGGTCTGTTAATTTTAACGCCTCGAAAACAAATGCCCTTTATTAATCATCTAAGAGAACGCTTTCTGGCTTCCATCAGCATGGCTGATGCTAACCTCCAAGAGAATGGCTCGTGGTGTCCTCTCGTGATGTCATGAAGCGGAAAGACTCTCTTGAATGCATGGCTCGGTCTGCAGCCAAGACTGTTGTTTCGCTGTGTCGTGCTAGAGAATTTTTATCTTACATATCTATGCGTACCAATAAACCTTTTGGGCACCTCGAGGTGGTGTAATGGTTAGCAAGCTTGTCTCGCTAAAACAATTACGAATGAGTAGTGAGTTCGATCCTCACTGGGTGCCATTTTCGGCCTTGTTCCACATTCAAGCTACGCTTGGAAAAATCACTATTTATGTCTACCATTTGTCCATACCTCGAATATTGCTGCCACATATGCCCCCAGTGCTCCTTCTGTATATTTAGAGATTCTTGATAAAAATCCAAAGAAAAATCAGCAATATTATTGGTACTGACCTGGCATCTTGTCTTCAGTCACTTTCCTGCCAAAGTAAATTTGTTTCCCTGTGCCTTTTGTATAAATACTTTCATGGTAATTGTTCGGACGAGATTTTCGTCATGGTATCTAGACTTTTTGAATTTATGCACAGTACTAGATTATCAACAAGGTCTCATCAAATTTGCAAGTCCTGGGTATGACGATAAACTACATCCGACAGCAAGGCTTCTGCTCAGGAGGTTTTGAGGAGCGTGGAACCGTCTCTTAACTGCTGGTGTTCCCAGGTTCACCCTGACCCGGAGTGGTAGCACCTGTTAGGGTCCAGGATATGGGCAGATAGTTAACCCCCAAACTGGGTTTTAATACCAGCAGTACATTTTTGTAAAAAATATTACCAGCAATTAATTTTTGAAGAAAAAAGTATTACCAGCAATACATTATTACCAGCAATATTGTTTTGGAAAAAATATTACCAGAAATACTTTTTGAAAAAAATATTACCAGAGATAAAAGTCATGTCGGCATTAAATAACCTACTGAGGTTGAAATGCTGTAAACCAAACCAAACCAAACCAAACTAAATCATCAATTTTGCATAGATCGTCTCTTTGTCTCAAAGAGATGAATACAACACTCATCCTGGATGAGGAAACGTTCAAGGAAACCAGCTGGGTCTGCTTCAAACAATGTGAGATTTTCCCGTGGTGTGATCATCTTGTTGCACTTTTGATCATGTATCAGAACTCTCCATTGATGGTGTGGCCCTTTTGAAGGTAATCAATAAATACAATGCCTTCTGCATTTGAGGTCATCACCTTCCCTGTAGATGAAATAACCATGACCTTACTTGGAGCAGGCGAGGAGGAATATTTCAACTGCATGGATTGTCTATTTGTCTCTGTCTGAAAGTGAATAACCCAACAAGGATCTTGTGTTCGGAAAACAAACCAGTTGTATCTGCCTCAAACAATGTCAGATTCTCCCGTGATTTGATCAGCCTGGTGCGCTTTTGATCATCTATCAGAAGACACGACACTCAGAGAGCAGAAATCTTTATCATGCCAAGTTCATTGTGCAGAATATTCTCAACTCTCTTGCCAAATATGCCAATAGCATTGGCTATTTGATTTATAGTCAATCCCCTGTCATCGATCACCATGTGGTGAACAGGATCAATGCTTTCTTAGGTGATGGCAGTTTCAGGACGTCTTCAATACTTTCCCAGAATTCATCTTCCCTCTTTTTCACGGTTCATAAAGCTGGAGCATCATCTCCTAATGTAGTAACCATGTCAGCATGGATGTCCTTGGGGCCTAAACCCTTTTTTTCTGTAGGTATTTGATAACACCATGATGCCAAATTGAGTCCATTTTCAGAAGTTCCTACAAGTTACACCTGAAGTCTTCTTTGGACTGGCAGATATCGGTTTACCTGGAAAGAATAAATGCAGTTATTAATAAGAAGCGCTGAAATCAATGCATGCAAAATTTCACAGCTCTAGCATCATTCCTTCATAGTCAGCCTGTGAACTTTTCAGCCCACCCTCGTATAAAGAACCAGTAATATTAAAGCTTAACCCTTTGAGTCATGTGTTCCTGAACCATTTTAACACTTCTGCCTGAGCTCCTGAGTCAAAATTCGCAAATAATTGGTATGTAATGTTTCTCGATAGATATAAAAATAGTTACAAGTGTTTACCCACCGTTCAACCGGTGGCTGGGCATTGTCATTTTTCTCTACCACTGGTTCAACCGGTGTCTGGGCATTACGCTATTTTTCTCTAACCACGGTAAAGCGGTGGTCAGGGCTTAAAGCGTTAACAAACATATTCCTCAAGTTCAGACCTATTTCCATTCATTGGGATCGAAAATATCTCATAAAAAGTCAAGAATTCTTCCTCGTTGTACCTATTTTGGATTTAAATAAACACTTCTCCGCACTGACGCGACACCGTGACAGAATTAAGTATCGCATTGCAAGAATTTTAAAATTAACAGTTTTGTGTGCACAAAAACATATAAAATATTTGCTTGTGAAATTTTATCTGTTACTTTTTGTTTATTGATTGTAAAACAAATATGGCAAGGAAAGTCCAACGTAATAATCCATGTGTAGCGTCCGAATTAATAAAACCGGCATCGATTAGCATATTTTCTCGTAATAAAGTAATGGCAATGAAGCTGAACAGATAATTCGTCCGCCTGATATAAAATAAATACACCTGCGACCCTGACGTGACTCGAACACGCAATCTTCTGCTCCGGAGGCAGACGCCTTATCCATTAGGCCACAGAGCCGACATGATGACACCCGGCAGATCGGATAGTTTTGCGTAACTACCAAGTAAACCAGAAAATTTCACGTAATAAATTAGTTAGCAGCAACGATTTGGTGCCTTTTTCCGGAGCAAATATATGTGCGTTCGCATCAAGTCAGGGTCAGCAAAATTCTCAATTTCTCATAAGTGCGAGTTATTGATTGATTTATTTTCTACGGTTTATCAACCCTTTTGCAGGTTATTTAAAGCCGGAAAGTATTTTTAGATTGTAAGAATTTTTATTTTTTCAGAGATAATAATGTTTGAGCGATACACTTCTTATAATTAACCCATACCTGGGGTAGAGAAGAAGTGGATTCATAATTTTCAAAAGGGTATTTGTGCGTAAGTGAATATAATGTATCCAAAAGGAAGTGGAACTCTCCAATTTACAATTTTGAGCCATTATCCATTACCTCACTCGTACATCCAAGCTTACAGCGCTTGGTATTCCCAAGTGAGGTATTGACCAGGTGTGACGTCGCATAATTTCGGTGATCGTACGGTTTAAGCGTGAGGTTGATTTTCTAAGGGTAGCTTAGTTGTGGCACAAGGCCGAAAGTATGGGGCACCCAGCGAGGAACCAACTCACTATTCAGTAGTAATTGATCTCGCGAGTTATTTCGACGTAATGTGGCCGTAAACCTTAGAGAGTTTAAAAGCCAAGCAATTAGTGTTGAAGCAACACTGACTGCTGTTGCTCTCTCTATGGATGTCGAAATTTTATGGCTTTCCTTAAAAGATAACATAATAATAGTTAATCGATTTATTGGGTTGAAATCGATTTACGAAGAGAGTTTACGTCGCCTTTTATCTAGACGAAACGTTAAAAATGTATTCTCAGGCCATGAAGCGGATAATTTATGCGCGACGCTGTCATTGTTTATCGAATGACATTTCGCATATCTTTTATTGCATGATCGCAGGAGGAATTCGGTTCACAAATCGATCTTCAAGTCAACGCATCGATTCGCGTAATGAATAAATACAAACAAAAAAGTAACATTTTACATTTTTCAGTGCTTTATTTCCAACTGTTTAGGCTTACGGCCCAATCACGTTGAAACACAGGTTCCTGTATGACCACCGAAGATAAAATTCTTAATTTCGCATGAGTGCGAGTTATTGATTCGTTTTCTACGGTTTATCAACCCTTTGCAGGTTATTTAAAGCCAGAAAATATTTTTCGATTGTAAAAATGTTTTAGATAATAATTGTTTAGTATTTGTCTATATTTCTGAGATGAGGAATTATGTACGCTATTTACATTATTCGGACTATTGTCCTCATCTTTGTCGCCATATTTATTACACCGTTTCGGCCTTTCAGTATCTGTCTATATTTCTGAGATGAGGTATTATGTACACTATTTACATTATTCGGACTATTGTCCTCGTCTTTGTCGCCATATTTATGACAACGTTTTGGCCTTTTAGTATCTGTCTATATTTCTGAGATGAAGTATTATGTACACTATTTACATTATTCGGACTATTGTCCTCATCTTTGTCGCCATATTTATTACAACGTTTCGGCCTTTCAGTATCTGTCTATATTTCTGAGATGAGGTATTATGTACATTATTTACATTATTCGGACTATTGTTTGTTGCCATATTTATCATTAAATATGTGATAAATATGGCAACAAAGATAAGGACAATAGTCCGAATAATGTTAATAGTGAATAATTTTTTAGTGATGCAAGTTTTACTAATTGACCCATAGCTGAGGGAGTACAGATTGATTCATAACTTTTCTTTGCGCGTAAGGAACTCGGCTCTCCGATTAACAATTCCATGCCATTATCCATTACACCACCGCACATCCAAGCTTATCGCAGCTGGTGTTCCCAAGCGGTTACCCATTTATGAACTGACGAGGCTCGACGTTGCTTAACTTCGGTGATGGTACGGGAACCGGTGTTTCGGCGTGATGTGGCCATAAGTCTGACGTGGAAACAAAAAGGCCACTGATAGGTAGCATCAGGAAGAGACAGTTGAAATTTATGGTTACATGATGAGGAAAAACGGCTTGGAAAATTTAACACTCACAAGACATTGAGGCGAAAAGAGCGCATAACCTACTTAGCGAGCTTGTGTAAATGAATGACACAACAAGGTTCACGTAATATAACAAAAAGACAAAATTTAATAAGAGCTACGAAGGACAGGAAATTGTGGAGAGTCATGATCGTCAACGTCATGAAGGGAGACGTTACGTAGAAGAAGAAGAAGAAGAAGAAGCTTGAGTCAATGGATGGCAGAACAAGGTTGAGGTGAGAGAACAAAAAGACAAAATTTATTAAGAGTTACAAATGATAGGAAATTGTGGAGAGCCATGATCGCCAACGTCCTATATATATAGAAGATGCAGATAAAAATAATAGATAATAATTTCGAGTCGATACATTAAATTACAATGGATATAACTAGTTTCAGTTTTTATTTCTTTGCGTGATGTTAGCCCATTATTGTTATCTAAAAGACCCTGTTGTCATAAAATGGTCACAATATACAAATTCTTCTATACTTATATATATATATATATATATATATATATATATATATATATATATATATATCCTTTGCTTAATATCATAATTCGGTTACTGTTTAAAGCTACTGTCCGAAACTGATGGCAGTAAGCGTAAGTAATTTTCTATGACAACAATTTTTAATATCCTTTGCTTAATGTTATCTGAAAGACCCTGTTCCCAAAGGATCACAATAAGCGGTTTTGCCTGTAATTAATAGTTTCATAACCTCCGTTTTATGTTATCAGTTTTGTATTCTCTAAAAAGCTCTGCTCCAATATGATCACAATAAACATTTTCTTCTGCGAAACAAAACGATTAAAGACAAACTAGCGATGAAATAAGTAAGTCACGCGTCTGAATTGGAAAACTTCGAGGCAGAGTATTACGAGACAGAAGGATTTCTTTGGTAACAAAGAAAAGATTCCTGAACTGCTACGTGACATCTGTCGTTCTTTACGGCAACGAATGTTGGACGCTCTCCTGAAAGATGAAGAACAGACTCGAGGCAATGGAGGTATAGTTCTACAGAAGGATGCTAAGGATATCATAGACCGAGTGTGTGAGCAACGATGAGGTTTTGGAGAGGATGAAAACAAGGAGGAGGCTTACACTTAACATCAGCTGAAATTTCTGGGACACGTAATGAGAAAGGATGGCCTGGAGAATTTGATACTGTTGTGGAGCGATTTCACAGTGGAGGCTTGTATTTGTACTAAGTCGGTCCTAAAATAGGTTCGACGTACAAAACGTTAGAAACTTGATATAATAGGTATAACGCAGAGTAATCTAGTTGTGGTCTCTGTATCTTTAGTATCCGACTAACTGTCGTACGACATCGACTGACTGACCGACTCACTGACAATATTCAGTCACCCCCCACAAGGGTGATGTGGCACAAGGCCGGTTTAACGTGGGGTCTCCGAACCCGTGGGCTCGGCCCAAAATATGCCCATTGAATCCGTATAAATGGGTTCAGGGTCGGTTTACCTCCCCGAAAGATAATCCGCCCTTCGGGGTAGCCTCTTCGGGTTTCTCGCCGCCCGAAGGCAGAGAGTTCAACCGATCAGCCAGTCGACTGACTGACGATATTCAATCTCCCCCCACTGGGGCAACATGTGACACAAGGTCGGTTGTTTATTGTGGGTTTTCCGAGCCCGTGGGCTCGGCCCAAAAATATGCCCATTGAACCCGTATAAACGGGCTCAGGGCCGGGAACGAGACTCCGCCCCTCGTCGTAGCCTCGTTCGGGTTCCTCGCCGCCCGAAGGCAAAGAGTTCAACCGATCAGCCAGTCGATTGACTGACCGACTCGTTACTCTTACTATTCCTACTTATTATAGGTGGGTGAGTCTATTAACTATAGAATAGGTGTGTTCCACTATAAAAGATACTCACAGGTCGAATAGAGGGAAAGAGACACGGGAAAGCAACGCATGACATACCTAGCGGGTTCAAGCAAGTGGTTGACAATGGGAAAAGTAGCAAAGGGACAAAACTTACCGAGAGCTACAAGGGATAGAAGGGAGTGGAGAGCCATGATCGCCTAGGTCCTGAATGGACAAGGCGCATAAAAGAAGATTTAAGCTTTCGTTCTTTTCAATGGCCGCATATCGTCAAAAGACGGAATCCTCTATCAGCAGTCCTTTACTCTTATCATTGAGCTTATGAATTATTTATATTCATTTTTGACGCTCTTCAGTGTTGGCCGATGAGAAAAAATTCCCTCAATATTTGATTTATTTAGAAAAAATGGACAACTGGTCGTCAGGGTCTGCCATCTACCGGCAACTGACGAAATAAAATGTGTCCAGTATTTCCGTTATGTATCATTTCATTGGACACAACCAAGGAGATTGTGGGCGTGGGTTTTACCAAAAAGAAGGAAGAGATTTTTTATGGATTTTTGTATGGATTCTTTGATCTTTATCTATCCGAGAGAATTCTAGATCTATTCGACACACACACACACACACACACACACACACACACACACACACACACACACACACACACACACACGCGCGCGCATGTACGCACGCACACATAAGGAAAATAACACTGACATCTCATTTTAACAGATATAGAGGGTGCGATGAATAAATTGTCGTCTAAATGACGCAAAATTGAAAATAAAAGATAACAGAGTGCGATGGATAAATTGTCGTCTAAATGCCACAAAAATGAAAATACCATTGACATCTCTTTTAAACAGATACACAGGGTGCGATGGATAAATTGTCTTCTAAATAACGGAAAAATGAAAATACCGTTATCTCATTTTAACAGATCTACAGGGTGCGATGGATAAATTGTCGTCTAAATGCCACAAAAATGAAAATACCATTGACATCTCATTTTAACAGATACACAGGGTGCGATGGATAAATTGTCGTCTAAATAACGGAAAAATGAAAATACCGTTGACATCTCATTTTAACCGATCTACAGGGTGCGATGGATAAATTGTCGTCTAAATGCCACAAAAATGAAAATACCGTTGACATCTCATTTTAACCGATCTACAGGGTGCGATGGATAAATTGTCGTCTGAATGACGGAAAAATGAAAATAACACTGACGTCACATTTTAACAGATATATTTACCAAAATAACACAAAAATATCTTGAAATATTAAAGAGTAATTTTTTTAATAAAATCGCCATTGGCTTCAACCACAGCCTCCAGACAACTTCAGAATCTCCTGCAACTCTTCTGTACGGTCTCCTTGTTTAAGTTGTTGAATGCTGCCATAATCCTTGCCTCCAGTTCATCTTTGGATTTACAAAGAGATTTCTTGTTCTCTCACACAACTGCGCCCCACATATAATAATTAAGTGGGTGTGCAAACTGAGGAGTTAGGTGGCTAGATGTAAGGGGTGATGTAGTTGCAGAAATTGTCTGACAACCATAACTGTGTTCTCCTGCTTGTGCGGCATGGTGCAGAGTCCTGTTGCCACATATAGGGTCTTCCAGCAGCGACCTTCTTGCCCCAGGGCAGCACTACCTCCTCAAAGCATTTGGTGTAGGCCCCCGGGTTGAGTCTGAGGCCCTGCAGGAAGATGAATGGAGGTATAAAGTCGCCATCACTAGTGTGATCACTAGTGATGGCGACTTTATACCTCCATTCTTCCAGACTTCGTAATCACCATTAGACTCATTCAACTCTTTCCGTCTCTTTCTTGTCCTCAGATTGATACTCAAACACTTTGAAATGTCAGTATTGGAAGTTCCGGAGCGAATGCCAAGAAGCATCACATGCTGTTCCAGATTTCTGAATTGAGTGAATTGCATCATGGTGTTTTTTTTCTCGCAGGCAGTGCCCAACTGACGCTACTATACTGTACAGTCAACGAAGTCAAAAACAAAGAACGCGCATGCGCTAAAATAAAAATATAAAATAGCGAAAATCTACCCATCATATCCTGTATATATATGTGTGTGTATGCATGTATTTCACTCCCATCTAAAGGTTTGACTTACATAAACATGTACCATCTATCTATCTATCTATCTATCTATCTATCTATCTATCTATTAAAAAGTCCATGAGACTCTGGTTCTCTACTCAGGTCGATTTGTCACTGCCGTTCATTTGTGGGCACCACCAGAGATGTTTAATCCTTCGCTCTACGACTCAGTTTCTCGCTCCATCCACCTTGTCCCTCGGTTCTCAATAATTTGTCTGTTTGCCTTTTTTAAAATTACTTGATAGTTTTATTTGTAATACGAGGTAAACGCTTTTATGACTTCTTCCATGGAGAAGTACAAAAACCTAAATTTCCTTCGAAGTAGGATATCTTGACTTCAAGGCACTTGTTCTACGCTCCAGCCACTTCGTGAAGGCCCCATGGCAGTCATCCAAAGTGAAGGTGAGTCCATGACCCTTGTCACAGGCTCTTTCATCGTCTCAATGTCTTTGAAATGAGTGGATTCACCTTCGGCTTGGTGAACAACGAAAGGTCGTGGGAGAAAAGTCTGGACTGTAGAGAGGACTAAATTTCAATGCCTAACGAGCTTCCAAATTGCTTTCACGTCTCGACTGCATTCTGGAAACACGTCAGCTGTGACAGTGTTTAGTAGGGTGTATTCATAAATGTGACGCAGCCGCCTCCTTCAATCTGGAATAATAAAAGTCGACAGATCAATTTATTCAATGTTATGATAAACTTACAATAATCCAAGACAATGATAACTGTTTTTACTAAGAAATTGTCTAAGACTTCTGGAATTGATATCGTAGATAAATGTCGGGAAGGGATCTCATGCAGAGGTGAACTGATTGAATCCTGATTAAAAACTTGATGGCAGGTAGTAAAGCAACCTATATCATAATTATCTGATTTTTGTTTTTGTATTTGTTATAGTAAAACAGCAAAAACAGCAAGTAAAATAGCAAGGTTTTTGTTA